CTTGTGCTTATCTAATTCCCTCTTGAAGCTGTCCATGCTTGTAGCCACCACCACCTCCTGTGGCAGTGAATTCCAGTGGAGATGCTCTTCCGCTGAGCCACAGCCCCTTCCTTTTGAGTCAATTAGTTTGTTAGATACATAACTATCACCAGGAGGAATTACCTGTAGCTGAATGGGCCAGGCGACTACAGCGGGGAGGGGCAAGGGGGCAAAGTCATTCCTTCCTTCCTTTCCTGTGAATGGAGCTTCACTCTTACCAGAGGCAGAAAGGGTGATCTCGTTCCCGTCCCTCTGCAGCAGCAGGACCCTTGTGGCTGTTAGCACATGTGAGTCCCTCCACTCCAGAAATAAAATTTCCCAGGGTTGGAAAGGGCTCCTGGGAGTGGAGGGCAGGGAAGACCCTGCAGTCTGCTGGTGGTTTGCAGGATCCAGGCCACTGACATACTGTACCCTGACGTTGGGGACCCAAAGCGGCTTACAATACTGTTCTCCCCTCTTCTACTTTATCTTCACAACTTCTGGGGTAGTTTTTTGCATGATTTGTATATTTACTTTTACATTATTGGGTGTAATGTTATCGTAGTCATTTTCATGTTTGTTAGATATGCTGGGACACAGTCTTCGGGTTGTGGGGTGGAATAGAATAAAAAAAAAATCTACCTGAAAAATGTACCCCAGTGGATTCTTGGTTGCTTATGGCTGGATAGGCCAAATGAATGAAATCTGGGAAATCATCACGGGGGGAGGGGGGCACCAACTTTTAAGAGCAGAAACATTCCTCTTTAAGAAAGAAGGAAAGTGAGAATACGCTCATTCTTTAAGGTAGAAGATGTAGTGTCACCATTTTGTAAAAAACAAGACTTTTTTCCAAAAAAAATCTTAGCTGAACAGTTGGTTTTCATACCCCACTTTTCTCTACCTTAAGGAGTCTCAGAGCGGCTTACAATCGCCGTCCCTTCCTCTCCCCACAACAGGCACCTTTGAGGTAGGTGGGACCGAGACAGTTGTGCAATGTTCCCTCTAAGCTGTGGAGTCTTGTGAGCAAACATTCTGTTTTGTGAACTATACTGGCATTAAAGTTGTGAGCGAGAGATTTGGCTCCTGCATAAATTAGTTTGCTCTGGAGCTGTCCTTCCTGAGCTAAGACAAAAACCTATGAGCCAGAGGCTAAAAAACTGTGAGCTAGCTCACACTAACTCAGTTTAGAAGGAACACTGGTTGTGAGAGAGAACGGTGACTGGCCCAGGGTCACCCAGCAGGCTTCATGTGGAGGAGTGGGGAATCAAACCCGGTCTACTACGCCACGCTGGCTGAGCTGAATTGTTCTAAATCGGATGTTTTACCCACCTGCCCCTCCCCATCTGCATCCCTGCTTCCTTCCCTCTCTCTGCTCACAGTCCTCTGCAATCTGCAGCAGATTCTGGAGTGCCTTCTTGCTGCCTGAATTTAGTCTGCTAGGAAAAATCAAACCCGGTGCAACAGCTTCTAGCAAAAAAACCCCAAACCCAGTCTTGCTTATGGCAGCACATTCCTTGGAAATCATTGACAAACAAGCAGTTAATGATGGGTTCTTTTGACCTGAGCAAGTGTGTTTATAGGTGTACAAAGCACACTTTGTCCACTTGGTGGGGCATTTGTGATTACCATCTCCGCGTTGCGGTGCAGTGTGTTCTCTGAAGGAGTAAAGCGGGAGAACGTTTCAGGAGTCTGTTATTTACTTGGTGTGGGGTTTTTTTATCATTTATATTTATTTCAGTTTTTCTGTATACGTTACAAAATACCTATACAAATCTTTTACAATCATACTACAAATTTCGGAGTCATACACTTATTCATTCTATGCCTTAATTTTTTTCCAACCATTTATAAAAATTTTCCCATCTATTTTTAAACAATACTTCATCCTTATTTTGTAATATTATAGTTAATTTATCTATTTCAGCCACCTCCTGTATTTTATAAATTAATTCTCTTTTGGAGGGTATTCCCCCCTGTTTCCAATATTTGGCAAATAAAATACGTGCTGCTGTAATTATATAAACAATAACATTTTTCATCTATTTTGTAGTTATCCGGTAGTACATTTAACAAAAATATTTCTGGCAATAGAGGTATTTCTACCTCTAACATATTTACTAGTAATTTCTGTACTTTATGCCAATTATATTTGGTGTGTTTTTAACCCCGTCTTTACTACGAGGAGTTCAGGGTGGCCGACAGCATGTGATTGCCCCTAAGTAAACCAGTGAAGGTTTATGGCAAGTGGGGATCTGAACCTGGACCTCTCAGGGCCTAGTCCAACACTGTAACCACTATACCACACCATCATATTTTTCTTAAGCTGGATGGAGTCAGTTGGGGAAGAGTTCTCTTTGTATTATTAGGCATATCTCTGCTCTATTTTTTTTTTTTGAGAAGCATGTATAAAATTAGCAAATCGTCTGCGCCCCTCTCCCCAGATTTAAAGGCAGCAAGAAAGATGATCTCCTGGGAATCTCTTATAACAGACTGATAAGGATCGATACAGCCACCGGGGATCCAATTACAACATGGAGATTCTCAAACATGAAACAGTGGAATGTGAACTGGGAGATACGGCAGGTGAGAGTCTTTCATTTCCTTGAACCCCAGGTGTCTCTCCACTTGATCGTACTTGACTCAAACTGCTTCAGTAGACAGTAGTAAACCCACAGCCCCTAATTGCAGGCATGCACTTGGGAGTGTAAAAACATTCAAACTTTCCCCACCCTGCAGACAGAAGTCCTTAAATTAATACATTTTTTTCTTATGAGCATCATCTGCATATACCTTTGGTTTCCACTTGGATCAGGCTGTTTTTCAGCACGCATCAGCCAGGTTTCCTTCAGACTGTCCTAATCATCTTTAATTTTATGAAAGGCTTGAAAATTGAGGTCTCCACCCAGCTATCAAATATGACTTCTAGTTTTTCCTGCCTTCATTACTAGTGGTGGGGATTAGGAAAAAGATGGAGGGACATATATATAGAAATATAGATATAGATAGGTGGATGGATAAACATACACGTACATACAGGAATTGCTTAAATCCATTTGGGAGCTCGGAAAAGGCCTTCCTTTCTCTCCCAGTTTATAATTTATGGAATTTGCTGCCACAAGATGTGATGGTGACTGTCTCTGGTATCTTTAAAAGGGACTGTGAAGGACGGCAGGAGATCTATCAAAGGGGATTAACCATGAGACTTAAGTGGATCCCATTTAGAGGCAAAAAACATCTGAATTCTAGCTATTGCAGACAGATGGAGCGGGGAAGGACCATTCTCTGATTTTGCCGCTTCCTCGCGCCACCTGTATGGCCTCTCTTGGAAATAGGGTGCTAGTCTAGATAGATCTTTGGTGTAAACCAATCAGGGCCTTTTCAAGATTTCAGAATCTGGTATCACAAAACACACGCCTTGTGTGTTATAAATTAGCCTGGAGCCTTTTCTTTCTATAAACCCTGTTAGTTGTTTGGCACAGGGGAAGATGATGGCTGTTTTAGATATTCATGGATCTTCTACATGTGGTGAGGCACAGATTAAGCAACTGTTAATTTTAAATGCACCATCGCTGTGCATAAAAAGTCACTGAGAAACCTGGACATCTGTGCTTAATGGAAATGCACATATGACTTGCCCTGTTTCTGGTTTCCTTCTACTCACTCGGGGAAGGAAATAGTCCTGGAATTTGACGTCACATGTACAATTCCACATGTACATAATTTGGTTCATAGTTGACTTCCTTTGTGCAGTGGTGGGTCTGTGCAATACCAAGGCTTATTTCTGGGCTTGCCAACAGGCCTGGAGGGGAAAATGTCCTGTTCCTTTAACAAAGGCAGAATCTGTGGAAATGGGCAGTCAAAGCTTTTCATGGCATGGAAGTTAATAACATCCCAGCAGTAAGGCTCTGTGAAAGCGGGCAGGATATTTTTCTCCAGGCGTGTTGGCAACCATACTCCTCCACTGTGGTGGAGCACGGATTCCTGGGCCCATTAATACAAAAAGAGGTTCCTCCTGTGTACAAAGTTCTTTTCCTTCTCCACTGAGTAAGCACAACCAATTCAGGTGCCGCCTGTATTTCGATGACTGCTTCTGGGCAACTATGGCTTTCAGCCAAGACCCAGTTATATGTTTCCCAGAAGATCAATGAACAGTGCCCTTAAACTGATTTATTTACATACAATATTTGCATTCTTCCTTCCAACAAAAGTTTCTCAAGGTAGTTTCCCTGATAAGGCAGCAGTTAAACACCACAAAAAGCCAATGTATCACTCTCTGTGTGTGCTCTTAAAATATGAAAAGCAGCCATAGAAAGCTGCCAGTTTTGAGCAGAGAAGAGATTGGATTTATACCCCGCCCTTTATCAGAGTCTCTAAGCGGCTTACCATCTCCTTTCCCTTCCCCTCCCCACAACAGACACCCTGTGAGGGAGGTGGGGCTGAGAGAGCTCTGAGAGAAACTGCCCTTGAGGGAACAGCTCTGAGAGAACTTGTGACTGACCCAAGGTCACACCAGCAGCTCCATGTGGAGGAGTGGGGAATCAAACCCGGTTCTCCCAGATTAGAGTCCGCACTCCTAACCACTACACCAAACTGGCTGTACCAGAGGAATGGAATATGAAAGTGGCTACTGCCCTAATCGTTTCTCTTCTGCTCCTTGTCCACTAAAATTATCCAGCCTACCAGCTGCTTTTCTTGAGTTAAGGAGCGTCTTCTTTCCTCTGATAGCTTGCATTTGATTACAGCCTCCAAGGCTGCTTTTCAGTGAATCATCAGGTCTCTTCTTGTCTAATATCTTGTATAACTAGGCTTTAGAGTCTAGTGTGTCTCTTCTTACAGATGAATGAGTGAGAGGAGAAAGGATAACTGCAGTTACCTAGTGTGAGGCAAAGCACCCTAATTCCCCTCAAGGGTTAACACGAATATTAGCAGTCCCACTCCAGCTTGCAGGTGTCCATAGTTTGGGCTTCCTTGCAAATACCATCCTTATCTCTTTCAGGGCCAGATTCAGGAATGTGGTAATTGGTTAATCGTGAGAACCTGTGCTCAGTGGTGTAACCAAATGGGAGGGGGGGGAATTAAGAGTTGATGTTAACTCTGGAAAGTTCCATGAAGGGAGACTCCTGATTGGATCCGGGAAACCACCTGGTGCCAGAAGGCAAAAGACTATAATAAGGCCATAGGGCAGCCCTGACCTGGATAGCCCAGGCAAGCCGGATCTCATCAGATCTCAGAAGCTATGCAGGGCTGACCCTGGCAAGTACTTGGAAGGGAGACCTCCTTGGAATACCAGGGCTGGGACGCAACAGCAGGTAATATCAAGCCACCTCTTTGAAACATCCAGGCCTCACTAGTGGTTGCCAGAAATCAACCATGTCTTACACACACATACTCTCACGCACAAAAATAAGGCTATAAGCCAGAGGGAAGCCATGCTAACTGAATGCTTGTGCCATTCTAGTATGCTTGGATATGTTATGCTCTGTCACGATGGGCTGCAACATAATGGAATGCTTTAGGCTACAGCTTGGAATCTTACGCACTTGTCAGGGATGCTCTAGGTCTGTGATGGCGAACCTTTTAGAGACCGAGTACCCAAACTGCAACCTAAAACCCATTTATTCATCGCAAAGTGCCAACACGGCAATTTAACCTGAATATTGAGGTTTTACTTTCGAAAAAACAACTCATACGTTAACTTAAGATGATCCAAACAAAGTAAGGAAAGCAATCCCAAATGCTTTCATTTACTTAAAATTATTTGGCAGAGAAGTCGACACTTTAATGAATTCGACACTTTAATGATGGTCTGGGCCTGGCTGGGGCGATGGCACGCGTGCCCACAGAGAGGGCTCTGAGTGCCACCTCTGGCACCTGTGCCATAGGTTCGCCACCACTGCTCTAGGCTGATCCTGCATCGAGCAGAGGGTTGGACTAGAGAGCATGTGTGGCCCCTTCCAACCCTGTGATTCTATGATTCAGGCGTGGCATCTAATACCAACCACTAAGTGTATTAGATTTTTTTAAAAGTTAGAGTTTTGTTGTTTCTCTGTTGCTAAGCTATGGAGACTATTTTTTAAACTGTTCAATAAGCCTTTATATATATTTTACAAAGGTCTGCTTTATTTGTGTGCCCTTAACCTCGAGGACCCACAAGACTGGGTGCTGCTCAGGCAAACAGGAGTGGGGACCCAGATTTGGGTCTCTGCCACCTTGGCTCTGGAGAGACTGTGCTGCTGGATGACAGCTGTTATAATGGTTCTATCTAGTTTGTTTTTCATATTTTTTTTCCCCCTTCGGACAGCGCTGGCTCTTCGGCTTTGAAACGGAGATGAGCACCGCAACCCTAGAGTCGGATTCGACTGGCTTTCGAGCAAGGGAACCTTTACCTTTACCTTTAAGTGTATTAGATGTTGCTAAGCTATAGAGACTATTTTTTTAAACTGTTCAATAAGCCTTTATATATTTTTACAAAGGTCTGCTTTATTTGTGTGCCCTTAACCTCAAGGACCCACAAGACTGGGTGCTGCTCAGGCAAACAGGAGTGGGGACCCAGATTTGGGTCTCTGCCACCTTGGCTCTGGAGAGACTGTGCTGCTGGATGACAGCTGTTATAATGGTTCTATCTAGTTTGTTTTTCATATTTTTTCCCCCTTCAGGTGGCAATTGAATTTGATCAGAACGTGTCCATCGCTTTCACGTGCCTGAGCACCGACTGCAAGGTCGTCCACGAATACATCGGAGGCTATATTTTCCTCTCCACCCGTGCCAAAGACCAGAACGAAAGGCTGGACGAAGACTTGTTCCATAAATTAACTGGAGGGTGGGAGTGAGGGGACGCTGCACCCGGATTATATCAGCCCAAGGAAACTACAAGAGAACGTTCATCTCTTCTGAACAGGAGCAGGGCGTTCGGCTGTCCTGATCTTCAGTCTCTTTCCCCTCCCTCCATCTAACCTATCTCAGGGGGGTCAGCCAATTTAAATACTTAAAACCTATTTCACTCCAACAAAATAGTGTTGTGGGGGGGATGCACAGTTCTGGTTTTTTTTCTGCCATTTTTATTAACACATTGTGCAGTCACCCTGTTGAAAGCAATTAAGGCCCCGATCCTTTGCGTGCATCGGGCACGAGTTGCCGTTGCCGTCCTCACTACCCGTTTCCATGTGGTCTACTCTGCACGTAAGAGTGCCCTGCCCACTGATCTCTTTTATTTTTTCCCCTGTCAGCAGTCCTTCAAGCTGCATTTGCAAGAATAGCGGCATGTATCTAATGTCATGCATAGGGTACCAAAAGGATCGTGCCCTTGCTGATTTTTTTTTTTAATTAACGCCACAAGAAAAGCACAAGTGTGGGTGGGGGATTTTTTCTCTCTCGCAGGGCATGGTTTAAAATGGTTTTTCCATGAGCAGAATATATCTGCACACAGAAAAGTCTGTTGTTGTTGTTCAGTCGCACAGTTGAGTCTGACTCTTTGCGACCCCATGGACCAGCTCCCGCCAGGCCCTCCTGTCTTCCGCCGTCCTCTGAAGTTTGCTCAACTTCATGTTCGTTGCATCGATGACACTGTCTAACCATCTCATCCTTTGCCGTCCCCGGCTTCTTTGACCTTCAATCTTTCCCAGCATCAGGGTCTTCTCCAGGGAGTGCTCCCTTCTCATTTGGTGGCCAAAGTATTTGAGCTTCAGTTTCATTATCTGGCCTTCCAGGGAACAGTCAGGGTTGATTTCTTTTAGGATTGACTGATTTGATCTTCTTGCAGTCCAAGGGACTCTCAAGAGTCTTCTCCAGCACCATAGTTCAAAAGAATCTATTCTTCGGTGCTCGGCCTTCCTTATAGTCCAACTCTTGCAGCCATACATGACTACTGGGAATACCATTGCTTTGACCATGCGGACTTTTGTTGGCAGGGTGATGTCTCTACTTTTTATCATGCTGTTTAGTAGTTGTTTATTACTGTCTTTAGACCAGCATACGGTTTAGTCAACTATAAAACACAATAATAATATATTTTTTTAATTTAAGAGCTTTTAAGGTGCAATTCCCGTAACTTGAAAATGAATGCCCAGAATTCAGCAACTTGACATGTAATCTTAGAATTATTATCAGATTAAAAACCAATGAAGCCTTCCTTTATGTGTGTTTACATGGCCGGGGATCATATCAAGTAACGGAGTAATAATTCCAAGACGTACCTCATGGAAGGTCTGAAATCCATAAACAGAAAGCATTTTCTGCTTGCCAGGAGCCTGGTAAAGCGGCCCGCTCTGGGTTGGAAATACCTGGACATTTTGGGAGTGGAGTCTGGAGAGGAGAGGGTTTGGAGATGGACCTCTGACAGAGGGACCTCTGCAGGGTATAATGCCACAGAGTCTGTTGGAAGAGGAGACCAAGACGCTACCTCGAGCCTCAGCCTCTGGGGGGCAGGGGGGGAGTGCAAACTAGTCCGCAGGATAGACAGGCAGACTGTGGGTTTTCTTCCCGTTTTGACTCTCCCGTCACTGTCCCTTTGAAGTAAGGTGATAGATCTCAGGGAAATTGCCTGGCCTCCTTCCGTTCCCTCTAACATTCCACACATCCTTTTCTTCTTCCACGCACATCAACGACGGAGGCCGGATGCCTCTCAGGATCTGCATCCATCCAAGGTGGTTAGCTTTAGTCTCTGTCTCTTAAGCTTTCCAGGGCTCTTTTTGTAGAAAAAGCCCAGCAGAAACTCATTAGCCTATTAGGCCACACCCCTGACAGCACCGCTCTTTAGCACATTAGGCCGCACCCCCATGTTACCAGAAGTGTTTATCCAGCCACACCCACCTTTTGCTTGTTATTCTGTTTACCTTGTTTGTTGTCAAAACCCAGGGCCTTTTTTTGTAGCAGGAACTCCTTTGCATGTTAGGCCACACACCCCTAATGTAGCCAATCCTAATGAGTTCCTGCTGTTGGGTGTGGCCTATTATGCTAATGAGTTCCTGGTGGGCGTGGCCAACTCAGGAGCCAGCCGGAACTCCGTTCCAGTGCGTTCCTGCCCAAAAATAGCCCTCAGCTTTACTATCTAGAATGTAGTTCTAAATAAAAGGACTGTAATTAGTCTTGAAATAGAAAGGTGGCTCTGTGTAACTTTGTCACTCTGCTAGCACACTGAGAACAAAGGGCTGGGCTTCTACCGCTCCAGAGCCAGTCTGGTGTCGTGGTTAAGAGTGCGAACTCTAATCTGGGAGAACCGGGTTTGATTCCCCACTCCTCCACTTGCAGCTGCTGGACGACCTTGGGCAGGCCATAGTTCTGTCAGAGCTGCTCTCTCAAGAGCAGTCCTCAAAAGAACTCTCTCACCCCCGCCTACCTCACAGGGTGTCTGTTGTGGGGCAGGGAAGGGGAAGGAGTTTGTAAGCCGCTCTGAGACTCCAAGTGAAGGACGGGGTATAAATCCAATCTCTTCTCCTCTTCTTCTTGTAGCCTAGTGAGCTCTGCTAAGTTGAGAAAGGATAGTCTTAATGAGTGGATACTCTTAATTGATTTGTGTATCAGTACTGGACTTAACTAACCAGTTACTCCCAGCAGAGTCCACCCTCCAGAGCAGCCCTTTTCTTCAGGGGAACTGAGCTCTGTAGCTTGGAGACCAGTTGTAATAGTGGGGGGGGTCTCCAGGTGCCCCCTGGAGGGTGGCAGCCCTCCTGCTGTGGGGCCTGACTCCTAACACTGCAAGAACGTGGGAACAACAGATGCTTAACAGAATACGGTTAGCAGCTATTTCCTTTCTGCTCATGGATGTTGGACCTAACCTAGGGTTGGGAAATTCCTGGAGATTTGGGGGGGTGGAGCCTGGGGAGCGTGGGGAGGGGAGGTGCCTCAGCGGGGTATAAGGCCATGGGGTCCACCCTCCAAAGCAGCCGTTTTCTCCAGGGGAACTGATGCTGGATTTTTAAAGCTCTACTACTGTTGTCAATTTTAACTCAGATCTCTACAGGGAAGAAAGGTGCTAAGGCGTCAGGAACGAAAATGCCTGGCTAATGTGTAATGAATAAAGTTATATATGTGTTTTTTATAGGAAGAAGCGTATTTTTTTATTCTTGCAAAAATATTGAAATAAATCTGCAACTGATGTCTTTATTTTTTGTTGTTGTTACTTTTAGTTGTCAAGCTTGGACTTTTTCTTTCTTTCGTCCCCGTCAGTTGTTTTTGTAGTTCCTAAATAAAAGGACTGTTATTCGTCTTGAAATAGAAAGGTGGCTCTGTGTGACTTTTGTCACTCTGCTAGCACACTGAGAACAAAGGGCTGGGCTTCCACCGCTCAAGAGCCAGTCTGGCGTAGTGGTTAAGAGTGCGGACTCCAATCTGGGAGGAGAACCAGGTTTGATTCCCCATTCCTCCACTTGCAGCTGCTGGATGACCCTGGGCAAGCCATAGTTCTGTCAGAGCTGCTCTCTCAAGAGCAGTCCTCAAAAGAACTCTCTCAGCCCCGCCTACTTCACAGGGTGTCTGTTGTGGGGCAGGGAAGGGGAAGGAGTTTGTAAGCCGCTCTGAGACTCCAAGTGAAGGGCAGGATATAAATCCAATCTCTTCTCCTTTTCTTCTTGTAGCCTAGTGAACTCTGCTAAGTTGAGAAAGGATACTCTTAATGAGTGGATACTCTTAATTTATTTGTGTATCAATACTGGACTTAACTAACCCGTTACTCCCGGCAGAGTCCACCCTCCAGAGCAGCCCTTTTCTTCAGGGGAACTGAGCTCTGTAGCTTGGAGACCAGTTGTAATAGGGGGGGGGGTCTCCAGGGGCCCCCTGGAGGGTGGCAGCCCTCCTGCTGTGGGGCCTGACTCCTAGCACTGCAAGAACGCGGGAACAACAGATGGGAAATTCCTGGAGATTTGGGGGGGTGGAGCCTGGGGAGCGTGGGGAGGGGAGGGGCCTCAGCGGGGTATAAGGCCATGGGGTCCACCCTCCAAAGCAGCCGTTTTCTCCAGGGGAACTGATGCTGGATTTTTAAAGCTCTACTACTGTTGTCAATTTTAACTCAGATCTCTACAGGGAAGAAAGGTGCTAAGGCGTCAGGAACGAAAATGCCTGGCTAATGTGTAATGAATAAAGTTATATATGTGTTTTTTATAGGAAGAAGCGTATTTTTTTATTCTTGCAAAAATATTCAAATAAATCTGCAACTGATGTCTTTATTTTTTGTTGTTGTTACTTTTAGTTGTCAAGCTTGGACTTTTTCTTTCTTTCGTCCCCGTCAGTTGTTTTTTTTTTAACAAAGTTTATGCAATGTTTTTTACTGTTTTTCAAATTTCCATAGCCATTTAGAATTCAGACAGTAAAATGTCTTCGTTGAGGGGGACTGTGTTCCTACACGTTGCCGTGTAGTTCTTCTTTTGGGTGGAACTTGACAGCCTTTGATTGCGGTTTTAATTTTCTCCTGCTTGATACTTCCCAAGGAAGGGCAGGAAGGAGTCAGAATCAGCCTCTGTCTTGAGAATCTTCTTCCCAAGGAACGTGTTTCACTGAATTCTTAATAATTGTATTGCATTTTGATTACTGTAAGCTGCTTTGGTATAAATAAAGGTCTTCTAAAATGATTCGGCTAAAATGCTCCCTTTGAATATTTAAGTGGTTATGACAGCTTTGATTTCAGAATTGTCCGTCATGCAATAGCTAAAGGAGTGTGTGTGTGTGTGTGATGCGTTTAAAAAAGGGGGTATCTCCTTCCTTTACAGAGATATAAGGGGAAATGGACAAGCAGTTTTTCACTTGAATGTCCTGTTCCTCAGTCTGTTGTTGTTCAGTCGCACAGTCGACGCCGACTCATCGCGACCCCATGGACCACATCACGCCAGGCCCTCCTGTCTTCCACTGTCCTCCAAAGTTTGCTCCATTTCACGTTCATTGCATCGATAACACTGTCTAACCATCACATCCTTTGCCGTCCCCTTCTTCTTTTATCTTCAGTCATTCC